GGATAAGAACATAACTTAGTTTATCTTTGCAAGGGAGAGGCAGCTTGGGAGGGAGAACAGCATGGTGTTTCATGCAGCCTGGAAGACAAGAGGAAGGTAGTCATCTCTAGTCAGCGCATGTTTAGATCCACTTTTGCAAAAACTAGGATGGGTGACTCCCACAAACTGGGAAGTTGAATGTGAAGTATTTCATCACTGTCATAACTTTTGTATTTAACATTGCTAGTCTTTCTTTTGTTTATTGAAGTGTAATATCTATTTAATTTTTTTTCCCCACTAGGCCTTTTCTCAATTATCAGAGGATGTATTATGTGTTCATGCAAATGATGTCTAGCGGTCCTGCGTGGCTGGGTATAATTCTGCTCATAACTGTCAGCCTTCTTCCAGATGTTCTCAAGAAGGTCTTATGCAGACAGTTGTGGCCTACAGCAACAGAAAGAATCCAGGTAAAAATATTTTTCATTGTGCAGTTAGTTTTTTGTATCACAAGTCTCTAATAATTAGACCTCCTTCATGGTTAGAGACGAGATTAGAACAGGTTCCCCACCTGTGGTGTTTATCACTGGTTGTATAGCAGCCACTTCTGAGTGGTACGATGAAAGGTGCTGCCTATTATTTACATGATGGTATTTACCTGAATCCTGGGGCAATCACAGGGACATCAGCTGACAAGGATGGTGGGAGAACCAGGTACCTGGCTCAGCATGATTCCTGATTTGAGGAGAGAAGAGCAAAGGGATTGGAATCTCTGTGAGTGTAGGTAGGACACACATTGGCCTGGACAGCAGTTGTTCCTGCTGTTGTAGACTATTCAAAGGCACTGCCTCCACCCCTGAACTGAAGTAATTGTCTTTCCTACCAAGTCATTTTACTGCAGAAATGACACTCTAGTGTGGATGTTCTGGCATTTACCATGCAAGCTCAGCATAGTTATCCAAAATGGACAACCAGCTGAAATAAACGGAGCTCAAAATAAAACCGGTAGGAAGGGAACGTGATTTTATTGAAATCCCCTTTAAAGTAGGGATCTGCACGAGCAGTTGCAATCCTATAACAAGCGACTCTACAACTGCATGTGTGTTGATTATTGAACAAATCTAGAATTTATACACTTAAAATGAATGTGATGAATATATAGTATGTTGGTAAGGAATATGTAGTAAACTCATGCCAGCATTTATATTGCATGATCTGTGCAATATAATACTTTCTTAGCCAACTGTTTTGTACTGATGCTGTGCCTGTTACAAAAACACACGTATTAAAACTCACTCATAATTCTGTTAATAATTTTTTCCTCTTTTATATTTCAACTTACATTTTGCCTGTGCTGATACATTATTTCTTCATAAATGTGCCTTGTTGTGCCAATGGGAAGAGTAATTTAAGATCTGTTGTCTCCTTTCTTCTGATCAGCCCAAAAGGAGAAACTACTGTGTAAATGCAGACCTGCTCTGCTGGGGCTGAAAGGGAAGTCAGGTTCAGTGGGAAGCATGGTACTACCCTAGGGCCATCAAACCAACCTCAACAGAAAACATTACCTGTATTTTTGACCCCAACAAACTTTCATATATTATATATGTTAAAAGATGAAGGATAGTAGAGGTGTTGAACCTAAAACTTAATGTTAGTGCCCTTGCCCTTTTCAGACCATGAACTGCCACTGGCAAGTTAAAATAATGAGTTACCAGCAACTGTATGTGTAGGGATTAGGTAGCATTTTGATGTTTATTTGAGAAGATACTTTGCATAAAGAGGAAAGGAATAAAGGAACTTTACTTCCAAGGAAAGTAAAATTTACCTTTTGGCAAAGGTAAAAAATTCTCCTCTCATATCTGCAAGGTAAAACCCCTTGCCATTGTTATGTATTCCTTGAATGTAGTGAAAATGCCCCACTTCAGGAGGTCAGGAAAGAATAGAATTCCCAGGCAGATCAGCATCTAGCATATTTCTACTTCGATATCTTTAATAGATGTGTCTCTGCCATATATGCTACTTGTGGAAGAAGATGATCTCTGTATAGGTTCTGCATGCGTAATTTAAAAGTCAAAAGAGAGAGAATAAGTATGGGTTAATGCAAAAAAACAAGCTAGCAAATAAAAGTCCCATACAAAGGTATAACAGACATTGTATGCTAGTGCTGGAAAAGGAATGAATCGTAAAGCAGACTTTGGGCTTAATGCTGGCAATATTCATTTTTTTAATATTTAGTAGAAAATCTTTGACTTTTAACCAGATATATCCCTTGTGTTTCTTCTTCCCTCTCTTTGTTTCTTCCTGTCTTCCAATCTGCTTTGTCTAAATAACTACTACCTTGCTTTAAACATAAATGATGTGCACGGTTACTTCCTACAATCTTCTGGGGAAATCAGACTAAACATCAGTGCCTTTCTGTTGAGCAGTCCACCATCTTTATGCTTTCTCAGACTTCAAGCAGTCTAAGTTTCTAATGGAACAAAAGGTGACTTTTTTCTGCCTTTCTGCATGCTTGGCCATTTCATTCAAAGGACAGTAAAAAGTTTATCATCAGAAGTTATTTACTGTACTCATTATCTCCATTTCTGATTCACGTCAACTATGTTTTGAAGAAGAATACTTTTTGATATTTTTTTTTATGTTGTTTATCTCAAAGATTCTATGAATTGTTGTCACAATCTGTCACTATCACTATCATTTTTGTCACTGAATTTTACATAATGTTTCTGCCTCAAGAATCTAGGATTCTTAGATCCTCATTTTAATCATTGGTATGTCTGTAGAGTGAATGCATGTCACGCTTGCATTGTACCTGAGTAAATGAAATAGTTGCCACACCAAGAAGTGATAATTCTGATTATGGTGATATTACTAGCATAACACAGCAAATGTGATACTGGAAACCATTGAAGCAATCTTGTATCTGCTGTGCTGTGATAGAAGAGAATCCAACTTTTTTATTAATAAGTTATTTCCAGCATGCGTTTTGAAACTGAGCTTTCTTTATATTCCCTTTTACAAAATTCTGTGCTTTTTCTAGAAAGAAAACAGGTCAAGATCCAGAAGTGTATGAAGTTTAATTTAATATAAAAGTAGAAGAAATGCTAGTAGAGCTTGGCTTCCTTACAGTCTGCCAGAAAATTCCTTTTGACTTAATACTAGGAGTCTTAGTTTCCATTGCAAATTTTGTATCTTTATTTCTTAACTGTTTAAGATAAAAAAATACATTTCCTCCTTTCTTTCCCCTTCAAAAATGTACAGTCAATAAAAATTACTTTAATTATGTAAGTCACAGGGAAAATACACAAAGTTTTTTTTCACTATTGAAAATTCTGGCTAAAATTGGCTTTTAAGTGTCAACTGAGCTTTTAACCAGTTATTTTTAAACTTAGTGCATTCCTATAAGCTATATTGCTTTCTTTGTAATAAAAGGGCTTCTGGAACAGTTAAAAAGATTAACATAGGAATAGCAGCCATCTCTCAGGTGACTACATTAGTTCTCCTCAGGCAGTAAGATCACATAAAAGCCTTTGAAGCAATTCTTATCCTTCTAAATGTTTCATTTGAGTCACTCCAGTGTGTGGTGGGTGATTGTTTACCATCATTACCATTCAGAGGTTTTTAACCATTCCAGATATAGTTCTGGGTTTTTTTCAGAGAACTTTTTAGTGAGATACACACACACACACACACACACACATATGTGTGTGTGTGTATACACATACATACATGTACATACAAGTGTGTGTATATATATATACACATATGTGCATGTATATTTTTATATATAAATATACACACACTATGAACTGTGATCTTTCTTGGGCTAAAACATTAATTCTGCAAAAGCTTTGGAGGAATCTGTTGTCTTTCAGCAATTTTGGTCAAAATCTGCTTAAGTCTCATACATGTCCCAGTGACTCTTTGGCTCAATGAAACAAGCTGAATTTTGTGCTTTAGCTGGAAATTGTGCAGCTCTGAGGTTTCTTTCAGCCTCTACTTTTAAAAAGCAATAGAGTATTTTTTTAATATATCCAGTCTACATTAATTGATTATATTTCCTTTTTCTTTATTCTTCTTTTATTAATAGCAGAAGCTCAGCACCTTTGTTATGGAAAATATAAATTCACTTTAACTTACCCTCTTTTCATTTTTATAATTGTCCCTTTGATTGACAGCGTTTCAGCAATCCCAAATATTTTGTAGCTGAAATGCCAGGTGTTTTAATTCTGAGCTGTAAATAACTTCTGTGCTTTCATCCCTTTTTAAAACATTTTTCTTTTGCTCTTTGCTTCTGACTGATGGTTTTTTACTTCACTTTCACTTCAGTCACAAGATTGGCCCATCAGCCCTGTTATGAGATCTCTACCCTTTGCTGCGCTTGGGGAAACCCAAAGTGGGAATTTTGCCTGGGGAAGCCGCTCTGGGGATCATTCTTCTGTGCCTCAATGGGCTTGGCTGCTGTTGAACAACTGCACAGTGCTCTCAGAAAAATGGTCACCAGCAAACTCTTGCCTTTGTCATGTGTTGGGCTCCTCTTTTATGGAAAACAAAGAAATGGATCTTGCTGTTGCAGTATTTGAATCCCATGGAAAAAGTTACCTTGGTAACTGCCCTGCCCTCTCTCCCTGTGGTGTCATGACTGAGCTCTAAGTCAGCCTTCGTTAGCACTGGCCCCATCACCTCTGTGTGCAGCACTCCCTTCAGTGTACCAGTTGTTCTGGGAAGCAGTGAAGCAGGACGTCCACTCCTTAATTTGGAATCAATTTGGCCTCATCATATCCCAGGGACCTCTCCCATTCAGTGCAGGTTGTTGACAGAAGGGCAGGACATACAGCCTGTGCTACTTAGTCATGGTACAGTTAAGTGCTTTTGAGAATAATTAAGTATTTTTAATAGAGTTTGAAATGGAACTTAGAACAGCCTCAGAGTGGCTCAAAGGATTAACCTCAGGATCGAGAAACAGAAACCTTTGTTTTACACTGGATAACCTTTCCTTTTTAAATCTATCAGAAAATCTGTCACTTTTACAGGACTTTACTCCAATAGTTACATTTGTACCAAATGGTACAATTCATTCACATTTCCCTCTTGTATTCAGCAAGAGTCTCACTGTTTTTCCTCATCCTTGCAGAAGAGTATGAGACATAAAACAGCCTTAAATGCACTGGCGAACAGCGATGGGCCACTTCTTGAAGGAAATCTTTCAGCTTCCGAGCCATAATTAGATCAAAGCTAGGTAACAGTACTGTACGTGTTGCCAGTTTGGATTCATTTCTATTGGTGAACTGTGCTATTTACAAATCAACTGTTTCCTCCAGAGTTTTTGGTGTACTTTATCAATATTGATACAAAATCATTATGTTTTACTTGGAGAGCCTAGTTTTTGCAAGAGGTGTTCCCATGCCACAGGTAAGATCTTTTTGTCTCAGACACTTACTCATGTAAGGCAAAAAAATGAATCGATATACTTGTATGTAAATACATTGTGTTATGTATAGGTGTTGTGTGACATTTCTTCTATAAGATTATTGTGGAGTGTACTTGCATTACACCGTGGTGTAGAATTCATAAAGGTAATTCTCACACATCGTGGTCTTGAATACATATACAGACCAGATGCTGACAGTAAGACAGGAAGATAACCATAAAAAAGGGAGTTACTTGTGAATAGGACCTTGGGCTGTGTTTCTGTCAGTGTCTACCATAGTAATGCGTTCTGCATAGACCAGTGCATCGCTGCACTGCTGCCTTGGATCAACAGAGAAGCGTGGTAGCCTTGCCAAATACCCGAGACAGCAGCATGAGTGGTGACCTCCTAAATCCTCCAGACATTAGGGCAGCAGAATGAAGTTCTCTGCTTGCCATGCCACTGATTACATGAACAAGCAGAAGTAAGAAGGTACACTTTTTACTCATATACGTTGCCACTTAGATGCTGTATCTGCTCCAGTCTCTACATGCTCTCCTGACCCCAAAAGCAGCACATGAGGAACTAAGTGAAGGTGCAAAGTACCAATATGTGAAGAGGACAAATGCAATGTAATGTGCTGGTGTGGGCTATAGGGCTCCAAGGTAGTTGAGGCGTGCTTTCAATTTACTTATAATGACTGCTAGACAAGTAGTAGAAGAAAACCCCAACTTTCTTGAATAGCTTCAGGCGTGGCAGATGGAAAGTGCTTGCCTTGGAGCTATGTGTAGAAAAAGAACGATTTTATTTTTAGAAATACTTAGGGTTAACTAAAATGCTTCACTTTGTAGCTGGAAGAATAGGAAAAGTAGTTACCATACAGTGTATGACTACTTCCTCCAACATTTCCAAAACAAAGTCTGCTATTCTGTTACCTGATTATCTACGTTTTTCTGTATTAATGTTGGTATTTGGTCTATATGTGTGTTTAAAAGAACCCAGGCCTCTCTGTTAGTGAGCCATTTGGTATAGTTTGCTGACTTTTCCAGCTATTGTAGGAGAGCTTTCTGATGTTCTTGGTTATGCAAGAATAGCGTTTCAAGCTTGTGATTGGCATTAAAAGTGAAATATTAAATCTCATAAAAAATTCTGTAAGCTATGTCATTAATATTTATTTTGTGATTTTTTCCTGTTTTGTTACTGTCTTGCTGTTAACAGGGAAGGAGGAAAGGGATATTAAGAATAGAGGATTAAATGGCTTATGGAGCATCCACAGAGAGAGTGATTGACAACATTGATTTGAATCATGCTTATAATGCATTTATATCTTAAATACCATCACATAACCTCCATACCTCTATACCTGAAAATTTTATGTGCATTTAGTGAGATGAACTCATTGGAGAAAGTGCTGTGCTAATTTTATTTTAGTTTGTGCATATGTTCCAGGGTTTGTCATGCAACCCTGGTGTTACCGTAGTCCTGAGTGTTTCCTGAGTGGAAGTGCTGATTCTGCCAGAGTGTGGAGTGATTATGTGGTACAGATAAATGTTAATGGACAATTAGACCAAGATAGTATTGTGAAGTGTAGTATAAATTGCCTATATAGATGCTACATGTAATCTAAGCAAGTGCAAAATCAGATACTGCTTAGAAGTACAAAGCGAGTGCAGTAAACCTCTGGAACTTTCATCTGTTAGCAAAAACTGACTGTAAAGAATCCCCTCTCTTTGGAATTACAGGGCAAAGTACTTGAATCTGTTCTGTCTTAAAATTCCCTGTAAGAAAATCTGACTAAAAAAGTTCAGAGCTATAAAGATGTACCAGGAGAGACTGCAAAATGAAATATAAACCCGATGTAAAACAATTGAACTTGAAAGCAGTCCTTTGTGTCCTCATCTGTTCTCTAAAGAGCTCATTATCAGGTTTAGAGATTATATGTAAAATTATGCCTGGTTCTTTAGGTCTTAATATAAGATGAATCATGTTGAAAGTGGTTGATTGCTCAACAGCATGTGGGTTTATACCTTTACATGAAACAAATAGCCAGAGTGGTGATCTAGTTAAAGGCACTATTATACCAAGGGCATAATGGCCCTATGAAAGGACACAATTGTAGACTTTTTGCTCCAAAATAATCTATTTACTGTGTATTTGCTTTTTTTTCCTTTTAACAGAATGCATCGAGGCACTGTCGGGAGCACATCTCAGAATTCACACCTCTTGCCTGTCTGAAAAGTCCAAGATACAGGAGCAATGACTGCAGCAATTCCTCAGCAAGAAGGTCTAATCCTCATTCTAAAAAAATGATGTTTACGCACTGGAAAGGGGTTGATTATTCAGTACTTCCATCTGTCTTTGGCTATTCAAATAAGCATTGCCGTTCCAGTGCAGGCTACCGCTACAGTGGGTCAGGTTTGGAAACGTCTGTATGACAGAACACCAAGTCAAGCCTTTAAAAACTGTATTTTTGTTTATTTCTTTTTTCAGGAAACAAACATGTCACAGAAATATACTAAACTATGTGTGGCTTTTACTGTCTGAGGTAATGTTCAGACAAACAGGATCAAGAGCTAGAAGTATGAACCCTTCCAGGCCAATAGGTCTCTTTTTATGTTTTGAACTACTGGAGCAATGAACAATCTGCACAGTCTGGCACTGTGAGACCGCTAGCACTAAAAATTCTCGTCATCCTATGTCAAGACTTTAGTGCATTTACTGCTTCTGTCATCTTTAGTAATTTTATTTGTTACTTGAAGTATATAGTTTCAGTCAGTGACCTACATTTTGAGATCAACAGTTTTAATTTTCAGCCAGAAGCAATGACCTCAGTTATCTCCAATGAACGTTTCCTAAAGCATATTTAACAAGTGCTGTTTCTGATTTTCCTCTGTCCTTTTTCTTTCTTTGCTCTTTCTGTAGAACAAGCTGGTGTTTCCTCTGTGCAGATCTGCTTTCAAGAAACACTCTCTAATGTTCACTTCCTTGTAAGTGGCCAAATCAGGGCTATGTCTGGTTTTCAGTTAGTTTTCCCCTGTAGAAAGACAGGCAAAACAATCCTTGTGTAGAGTATGTGTATACCATATGAAGTCAAGTTGGCTGTTAAATAGGTAAATATCATCAATATTGATAGCTACTCAAAAACTGAATGTAAGCATCTTGCCTAAAAGGTCTGTGTGAATTAGTCAAAGATGCAGATTACCCAGTGTTCCCACTTTCTATCCCCGTGATTGTAAAATATGCATAGCAGAAAGTATTATATATTAAGCTTTTTCTGACACATTTTTTTCCTTTAAAGAAGAAAAGCTGTTTTTTTCCAAATAAGCATCTTTTACTATCTGGATTCATCCTCATAATATTGATTTTTTGTGTGTGTGTGGTTAAATACTGGCTAATCAGCTTGCTAGATATATTACAAAGCACACAACTGTTAATTTTTGGAAGCAAACCATGAGGTGGCACATGGCTGTTTACTAACAAACAGTTGAACCCTAGTTGTGATACAGAAACTGATTTGACTGCAAGGGTTTAGTTTGAATTACTTTTAAGAATGACAGCCAACTTGCACTTCTGTTTTCTCTGCTACACTTATGTTACCTTGCACTAATTCAACTACTAGCTGTGTCCTTGTCTTGTTTCTTTAGTCCAGTGTTTTATTTTGGGATGCAAAAATATCTGAAGGAGTAATCTGATTTCACTCAATTTCAGCCTGGGGGTTAGAACTGGTTAATAACCATAGTCATTAAATACCTCTGGGAGGATGTTAGCTAAAAATTTATTTCAACTAAATACTTGGAGTTGGAGCTACAGCCTTTATTGGAAGCAGTGGCCAAGAAAATTGACAGTTATGTTTTGATTGGACTGAAGTGGCAGAGAAAAATTATATCCCTTTTTCTGTTAGGGAAAAAAACCATAGGCAAAACAGTTTACTTACTAATTTTAATGAAAGAAAAGTTAACTTTCTAGGAAATGTTCCTCACAATATTCTGAGTGATTTTTGCATTAAATTAAATGCCCTGGGACAGGCTGCCCAGGGAGGTTGTGGAGTCTCCTTCTCTGGAGATATTCAAGACCCGCCTGGATGCCTTCCTGTGTGATCTCATTTAGGTTCCTGCTCCGGCAGGGGGATTGGACTGGATGATCTTTCGAGTCCCTTCCAATCCCTGACATTCTGTGATTCTGTGACAAGCAGAGATCGTAAAGTAAGTTGTGAAATTTTTGGTATACCAAAGACAAGAGAATTTTAAAAAGTCTAATGCTGAGCACCACAAATGAAGGTATTTTTACCATTTCACGTGTAGCACTTTTAAGTTTCAAAGAATGTCCTCATAGCAGTAACATTTTGAAATACATACATATGTGTGTGGGTGTGGGTACGTGTACATATACTTGCCATTTCAGACTTGAATGTTGGTCAGTTAGAACCGTCCCCTACATAAAACACTGGTGTATATATTTTTAAAAAGTTAATATGAGTATAAATTTTATACCACTAGCAGTGACAAATTTCTTGTGTGTAGTTAACAAATTATTTGTAATGTATTTTTTAGAAATCTTAAAATTGCCTTTGCACTGAAATATTTTTCATACTGTAGCTATTTATAAATCTGTTTTACGCATACATTTGTTAACACACCATTTCTATTTTTTTTAAGTATATGTTTTGAAGGCTTTTTTTATACCTATGAGTTTTGGCCACTTAAATTTAGCTTAGAATGGCATTGTGGCTGAATGTTAAAATTTTAATGAATGTCAAATTAGAAATATAGGTCTATTGCTCTGTCAGTCTCACCCAAAATATTGATGTTTTGTTGGTATTTGCGATAGCGGTGATTAGAGCACTGTACTTTCAGTGCTATACTGTTACTGCTAGCTTTTTTACCCTACAAAGCCTCCTGTTTTACTTTCCTGAGTTCTGTCTTTTAGCCTTAAATAAGGAGATTTTTTGCTTGATGTTTTTGAAAATGCTGCATTCCTGTTCTGCCTACTAACAAAGCAGTTCATTGCAAAATTCATGTAGCCCTGCTCTTAGAAATTATTCAGGCTGAAACACCTACATAAGTGCTTGGGAAATTTCAGTTAAACATGTCATTTTTTGGAGGAGAAGGAATGTTTGAATTTAAGTGGAAGTTTCTGCTTTGATTTAGCAATACTTTTACCTTTAAAAGTTGATACTGTTTATTAAAAATAGACTGTTTAATGGAAAAAACATAAAACATCAACTCTGTTTCACTTAATGTGCTTTTGCTTTAGTCCCTGTTACTATTGCCATGCAAACCTAGTCCACTGCAGCAGGTGTTAACTTGGAGTTTTATTGTAAATGGATCAGATGATACAAATATGAGAAAGTAGGAATTAGATCAAAATGCATTACAATGTTTTATGATGGATGGGACACTGAAAGGAGACAGATTTTTATGTATTTAAAAAAAAAAAAAAAGAATTAGAGGGGAAAAGTATAAAAATCTATATAACTTCCTAACTTGCCTTGTTTAAATTGTTGCAGCTTTAACAGCATAGTGTCTCCATAACTGCTTCTATAAATGTCTTGAAACTGGTAAGCACTAACCAAATGTATGTGAAGACTTAGAAAGTATTTCATGCTTTTCAGCCACTGAAGTTCATATATTCCTGCAGTGGCTTGTGGCAAAAGATCTGTTTTGTTTTACCATGTACAATAATTGTTTGTTCAGCCACTTAATGTAAAAGCTTACAGTTTACTTTCTTGCTTGCGTTAGCCTGTTTGTCTTGACCCAACTGGCTTGCAAATAGAAAAGGAAAAAAACAGCTTAACTGAGCAACTGCACTGCTTTTCTTTTGGAAGCCAGTGGGATCATTGTGCTCACGCTACTGTCTCTGTTATAAAAGCTTTAATGGAAATTTGTGAAAGTATTAAGAAAGTGAAAAAAGTACACGATTCTACTTTGCAGAATAATCTAAAAATCAGTTTATATAGCTTTAATTTTTTTATCTCATGAAAAGTCACAGAATTTTAATCTGCGTTGTATCTGACATAAGTTCTGTGCTATGTACACATTGCATTTTAAATGTCCTTTTGTGATCTAATGTAAAGTAGAATCTGCGGAAGTTGCTGTATGGGGGCTGGGGGGTAGTTATCTGTGCATTAAACATTAAAGATGTCTGTAGTCATCAGAACCAAATACTGACACTTATTTTTAATTGTACAATTATAGATGCATTTATTTGAAAATAAATCAGCCTTCAAATCTAATGTTTAGATTATCTTATACCACTTCATTTATTTGATTTGAAGAGTCAGTGTGTGAATACATTACTGTAAAGTTTCTTTTCAGTGCTATTTTTAACTCTAATTTCTGTAGATAACCAAATATAACTTGTTTATATTCAGTCACATTTTGGATCCTTATGTAGAATATATAAGCAGGAGACATGAATCTGCTTGCAATAAATATAAACATTCAAGACTGGTTTAATTTGCTCATGGGTAATTAAAATAATTCTAGTATGAATATGAGATGTTTTCCTATTAGTCTGTAATAAAATGCAAGTAGATAACAGAAAATGGAATGAGTGTTTGGTTCTGTTATTGAATATGCTTGTAGTCACATTTATTTTCAGAAAGTATATGTAGTCAACTAAAAAAGCAAGCTAACAAAAAGGGAGATTCAGGGAAAGCTGGAACACGAGCAGTGCGAGGGGTTTGTTGCAAAGCTCGTAGAAATTGGTACCAGTCCAGGAGAGCTTTGTTCCGATTGGCTAAGTGCTAAAGTTCTTTCCAAACTAAACTCAAAAGCTACACATGAGAAGATCTGTATTTCCTCATGGTTCTGCTATGTGGGGTACCCAGAGCTGTTTCTCCTTTTTTTGCAATGTTGGCAATTTAAAGAAGCTGAATCAAGGACACAAACAGTGTGCTTTGCCATCTGAGTCGGTAGCAGTGTTGACAGATTCTTACAAAGGAGGCTGAGTGCACAGAAATCCCATCATTTTCTTTCATTTGGTGGCACAATATTATGGGACTTGCTGTAGTTTCAGAACCATTACAGAGTGTACAATGTGTTGACACAGTCAGACTGAAGCTTTCCTAGATGGCCTCCTCAAAGCAAGTCAGAGAATTAGCTTAGGAGCCTTTCTCCTTCCCGCTGAGGCTGTGTAGAATGTTTAGGCACTTTGTTTCTATACTGATTTCACACTTCCCATAATAAGGATTTCATAGTAATGGTTTTGTATTTGTATGAACTTTTTATCCAAACAATACAAGCATATTGTACCCGTCTCCCTTTTGTACATCAAGAAATTCTGTGTGTCTAATGAACAAGCTGCTGGAGAAGGTAGTTTGAGGGGAAAAGGTAACTTATGGAAGATGGTTTCGCTTTACTCATGCAATGAAGAAAAAAAATGCATAAATTGCAATTAGATAGAAATATTAAATCGAAACTGTTTTTGAAAAAATAATGTGCTGATGCATTTGGATTTCAGGAGGGACACAGTAGCAAGAAGAACAAATTACCTCCTAAGTAGACAGATTTTTATTTTGTGTGTAAGAATATGTTTATTTAAAGGAAAAAAGGATAGAAAGTCAGTGGTTTCTGAACAGTGTTCTAAATTGAATACCTTATGCTTTCCTTTAGCTCTTTAAATTGTGCTCTTTTAGGAAGTTACTTTGTAGAAATAATTGAAAACTGTTTCTTATATTCTACAATGAGACTACATTTTTTTTCTGCAATATTTGCAATACTGCTGTATAAAATCTTTCCTGAAGGTTATTTTGATATGAAGTGAGACAGGTTGGAGACAGACTGAAGTTTCTTGATTTTGTTTTCTGCGTATTCTGATTTCCTCAGGTGATACTCTACAGGAATTTAAAAATAGTATTTGACCATTCTAATAAAGCTTTGTTGTTGTGTGTTTCCATGACACAAACTTACATGTCTTTTCATTTTAATTTCATTCAAAAGCTAAAGCATAAACCTGCCATTCAAAGGTTTCATTTAAACTGTGAAGTGATAGGCCAGGGATGAAAACAAATACAGCCATTAACTCATTTCATTATACCGAATAGTTCATCAGATGCCTCATGTCGCCCATCTAGGGTTAGATGTGTTTATCGGAAAATTACACTGTGATCAGTTCTTCTTTTAACTGGTGAGTCTGCAGTAAATTAATAGCGGTTACTCTTAATAATTTAAGTGTTCCTTTTCCATTTAAAGGAGAGAAATAGGAGCAGTATTCAATTTTAAACCACCAG